AATCGCCATTGTATTTTGATACGGGTATCGCGTAGTTCGCCGCCAATATTTTAAACATATTGTCAATACAACAATATTGTAATTGTATAGCAGTAATTACTGATTTATAGTTATGTGTACAAATTTAAATTAAATGCACACTTTTTTACACATTTAGTCGCGGTATTCGCCCAATACTATACATTTAAACACCGCATAAACATTTTAACCTAAAAACAGAAAAACAATAAACACACAAATACGTAATGTTTTCAGCTGGTATGTTTACAACAGCTTATCGAAAAACCTTAGCAGTACAGTACTTCCATTAGAAAATGACTGAATCTCTGACAGCCTGTGGTGTAGAGCAGGGGTAATTTTTGACACTTCTGATATTTTTGATATTCTGATATAATTTGTTCCCACAGTCCTTGGACCTTGAGCTTTAAAATGAATCCTCAACAGCCATTCTACCTTTTACGTAGGTCGGGATATTTAATGGGGACCGATTCGCTTACGGAAATAAATTGATAGATTTAATATCATTTACGTAATATGACTCAAATTAAATACAAGCATTGACTATTGGATACTGAAGTAGACATCCCATCTAAATGGACCAGCTCTGTAGCCAGTGTTTTGTTAAAAAAGAACGTAGTTGTGTGAGCCAGCCACATAATGCGCTAGCGACTAACTATTTTGTACTTGATTTTTTGTATTATTAATAGTCATAAGCCAATTCTGTACTTTACTTTAAAGTAAACCTATTTTTCGAATTATGAATCAAGAAACATGAATTCGCACTGAATACTTTTACGTAAATACATCACTTTCATTGTGCGCAAGGGATTTAATAGAATTCGTTTTTTTATGATTACAAAGTAATACGATAACTTGTGTATTAACAATTAAATATAAATCATATTACTAATTGTTTCCATCATTATTATCCAATTACTTTCTGTAAGTATCAAACGTACCAATTTAATAACAAATATATTGTTATCATAAAAAGCTTACAAGAACTAAGAAATACATAACCATATCCTAAACTTAAATAAAAAAACTAGGCCTATATTTTTAAATTTTAGAAAGCTACATCAGACAAAACAAATGGCACCAATGATAATTTACAACAAACGATGTATTATTTTTAAGGATAGTAAAAAGAACCCTGTAACAAATAGAGTAATACTCTAAATGTTAGCGTTCTATAGGATTAGCATAGGCGCTTTAAGAGCCCTGGCTCTGGGGCGAAGCATTCGCTACACACTGAGCTCAGCTTAACATACAAAGATTAAAATGACAAAAAAACCTTCAAAAATTGTTTAAAACTTAGAGTAAGTTATAATCACTCAATTAGAACCCTATAGCAATGTAAGTTATCACTGATGTATTTCTGTAGGTTTGTACTAAATAACAATTAGTTTTTACTAAGTGAAAGATTTTAAAAAACGATAGCAATATTTAAGCCAAATGAACTTAATTGCAAAAATAAGCTTTTAGGCTAAATCATATTACTGGTTGTACAAGGAAGGACTTTGTCTGTTGCTCAACTTATTTTCCCCGTAGAAGCCTGAAGAATTTCCCGTCCTCCCTCAACGACTCGCGGGTCAGATCACATGTTTCAAGCGACCCTATTATCTACCTACAAGACCCCCGGGTCAGTTTGAGTGATCCAAAACTACCCTCTACCGCGGATCAGTCTGTATGCAGCCGTTATTGAAAGTATGAATTTAATATGACAAGTATTAAGTGTCTTTATTAGTATTTCAAATCTATCTGTGCTCTAAGTCCAAAAATATTAAAAGAGTATAACGGCCTTACCTTGGCCAGCCGGCGCTGGTTCCTAAGGAAGAGTGAATTATTGGTAAAAGGTCTACCACCGATGGTACTTACAATTTGGCTGCAAAGAGAGAGGGTAAGGCCATGATCAGCAATTTGTTGGGTATTGAACCTACTGAATGCAAGAAGCAGCACAAAACTGCTTACACTCAGCAATCTACTTTACACAACCAACGACTGCTGTAACTGAGAATTCTACAATTGTTTGATTGATTGAAAATCATTTACAATATGAATTTTTAAATTTATTATTGAATTAAATTTTCCTCAAAACGTCCTACCATCACATATATATGTGTCCATCCATAACTTGAGTAATTTTTGTCCGATTTTGATAAAATTTGCTTTGAAGGTGTAAGGCGGGATAAACTTGAATGAGTTCGCGAACCAGCATGATCGGACTATGGGAACGGAAAATTTATGGGAAACCACAGTACCTTTTAATATTTTACATTAAAAAAACTTTTTTACCCTCCCTGTTGCAGCAAACCTAAGTACTCATTAAACTAATTCTGTTTAAATAGGGAATAAATGTGATATTTTTAAGGAGACATTTTAGTTAAAATCCAATCAGGCAGATGGAAATTCGCTAAGTCTGCAGGTTTGCTGCGGCGGGGGTATTTTCTCTAGCCTAGGAACCAGGGGGTGGAAAATGCCCCCCTGCCCCCTCCAAATGACGCGCCTGCAATTCCCCCTCGGAACCCAAAATGCTCAAATATTGGGATAGCTCAAAAATGTTAAATGCAATGCCTGAAAACTAAAAACTGCCGCCATTTTGTACTGGGTTGAGACAAGGCCCTTTGGTTTGTACCGATATTCTTTTTAACTGATAGCTTTCAAAATGAGGTCTCACTTGATGGAGTCACTTTGTGTTTAAACATTTTGAACTTTCCCTAAAATACCTCATTTTGGGGTCATGGGCAAAACTGTACGTCATATCGACCAAAAAGTAGTTTTTAGTTTCTTGTTACGGTAATACTCTGAGTTTAGTTCTCCTGGTAGAACACATAAAAACAATAATAGGTTTTTTACATACCTCAGTCAAATAGTCCAAAAATGGTATTGCTCAACAGCTTACATGTTTCGTTGCGAAGACAACATTATCAAAGCTTGCAACTCGTCAAAAACACATTTAAAACACGAACACGAACACAGAAGACATTAATACGGTACGAATACACATGAGAGGAGACGATGTGACGTGACCTCCAGTCTGCTACCAGCCCCGCGCCGCGCCGGACCAAATCAGTATTATGATAGCGCTATCTAAATGTCAATTGTGTATTCGTACCGTATTAATGTCTTCTGTGTTCGTGTTCGTGTTTTAAATGTGTTTTTGACGAGTTGCAAGCTTTGATAATGTTGTCTTCGCAACGAAACATGTAAGCTGTTGAGCAATACCATTTTTGGACTATTTGACTGAGGTATGTAAAAAACCTATTATTGTCTTAACAATATAGTCCAGGGGCCGAAAACATGAATTTTGACACATAAAAACATTATATGGGGAAATTGATGTATATTTTTACATGGGGTTTCTCAGGCTGATAAAAATAAATACCCCCGCCGCAGCAAACCTGCAGACTCAGTGAATTTCCATTTGCCTGATTGGATTTACACTAAAATGTCTCCTTAAAAATATCATATTTATTCACTATTTAAATGAATAACATTAGTTTAACAAGTACTTAGCTTTACTGCAACAGGGAGGGTAAAAAGGTGTTTTTTGTAAAATGTTAATTGTTTAGTATGAAATGACTACATTTTCCAAATTTGATCAAAATATGTTCATAAACAAGCAAACTACAACAGTTTACTTTTTTCTCCATAAGAATAACATGGGAATTTTAAAATTACAGATTTTTTAATTTTTTTCCGTAACCATTAGGCGCATAATAACGCTTCAATATACTAAATTATTTGTTTTTTAAGCTCTACAAAATGGTTTGAAAAAAATTGCTAAATTTTAAGTTTTTAGGGTCAAAAATGGGAAAACCCAATTTTTACCCCATAAACCCCCGTTCCCCTAGTACAATCATGCTGGTTCGTGAACTTTTTTGAATGGATGTAGGTTTACACGTTTGTACCAAATGTCATCAAAATCGGATAGTTTTTGCTCGAGTTAACGCGCTAACGGACACATATATAAATATATAGCCTATATATTTATGGATGTGAACGGATGGTGTTTTTGGCCTCTAGGGACCTCAAAACGAAAAAGTAAATCGGTTCCGGGTCCAGGTCTCACAATGAGTACTACGGTAATGGTAATAGCTTATTCCCTATAGGGGAAATTCGCTAAAATGGCAGCCATTCTGTAATGAGTTGAGATGGATACAGACCTCTAGTTTTCGCCGACATTCTTTTTAACTAATGGCCTTTAAAACGAGGTGTCACTTGATATGGGAGTTTATACTGTATTTACAATTTTTAAGCTACCCCCGAAATAACCCATTTTGGGACTAATAGTGTTTTTGGATTTTGGGGACAACAAAATGAAAAAAGAAATCGGTCCCGGGTCCAGGTCATTCCGTGCTGCTTACTGTAATAGTTTCTTTCCAATAGAGAAATTAGAAATTCGCTAAAAGCAAAAGTGGCAAATAACTTAAACTCACTGCACATGATCATATAATTATTTATTGATTCTTATTATTCATTTGTAACTTATCATCTTATTTTAATGCTAAAACGGTCTATTTCATTTTTATATTAGAGACCTTATTGATTTTTGTATGTCACCTTCTTGGATTTATTTTATGCAGTCCATAACATTGCACTGTTGTGGTTGTTCTACAACTTCCAATCATAAATTAGTGTCTGTCTGGGATGCTGTAGATAGTGTAGTATAACATAAGTTTCGTATCAAGAATAGGAAACGGGGTACCTTAAATCGACAACAGACAACAGGAACAAATAAGTTTTTTACTTCAAGGAGGAAATTTGAATGAGAGTTAGCGGCCACGGGAGCAGATGGCGTATACACGCCTACGCCAGTACGCCACACGGAAGCCGGAAAATGCGCGAGTCGCTGGCATGTTGGGAAGAAACGCGCATGCGCAGACTACATTTTGTGCACATCTGCTCCTCTCTCTGCTCTCCTACGTTGAGATAGGGGAGGGGAGGGGTGGGAGCGAAATTCGATACCAGCTCAAGCAGCTGTCTGTGTGCGAGTGCGGGGCGGGTGCGACGCCGGCACTGAGGTTTTCTAATAATAGAAACCTAGCTCGCTAGTCGCTTCAAACAAAAACGGTGCATTAAACTAAACTTTTCTTTTATCGGCGTTGCCATAGGAAACTAAGCTATTTACCCATCATAATAACCTAAAACCAAATAATATTGTGGTTGGGATTTAATCAAGGTTAAAATTTGAGTCAGCTGATTTGCCGAAGCCAGTTATCGATCGATACTACAAGCTAGTGGATATGTGGTAAGGACGCCGAAGTGAAATATAATGATTTTCGACGATTTGCACAAGCTTTTCCTTTACCAAAAGCTGAATTTGGGATTCGAGTGCCAGTTGTGCAAGCAGAAGTTTTACAATAGAAACGAGCATTTGGAACATTCGAGGATCTGTCAAAAAGGTAGCTTATTGTTTAGGTTGTTTGTTTACAAACAAAATCCTTTGCATCTTTGGCTATTGTATTGTAATGTATAATGATTGTATTGCACTTTTGTCTGTGATTGAACTCACTAATAACTAAGGCAATACGATTTCTCCTGAATTAATAATGGTAATAAATATAAATTGATGCTGTGTCAAACATATTTTTGATGATGGTTGTATAAATAACTTTTAAATTAAATAGACAAGATGGCTTTATATACACCCTTCCGCTCAGGATAACCGGTACCCTTCTTCCAGAACGTCTACCTACAGTAGGCTGTTGAGTTGAGCCTTCTAATAGACGAAAAACAATTGATAGCGAGGAATCACTTTTTCACCTACCTCCTCATATTTTACTTCTGCAAGTTACAGAATTTTATTATTTTTTTTTTTCATTGCTATATACCATTTTTGGTATAAACATTTCAATAAATCAAGAATTTAATCACAATCTACCCTAGAATCAAGAATTGATATTTTATTCCAGTAGACACATACATGCATATGGACACGTAAAAAATTTGATTACATGCTAAAAAAACATAAGTCAGAGATAAATACAGTACATACAAAATTCAGGCATTTAACAAAAGAAATTAAATAAAGTTATAGAGGCCATTTAGATGGCACAGTGAGGAATATGGTGTAACTTACAGAAAATAAACACAAGATATTAGTTAATATAGTGAAAAACATTATTTACAAAAAGAAAAACTTATGAACAAAGCAGTAACTATAGATTACAATTTCTTTGGTTGAACATTCATAAAATTCTCCCAGACGATAAAAAGGGTGTTAGTCAGCCACTGAAGAATTTTATTTTTGAAGGCTTTGTTGGTTGACAAGAGTATTTCCTTGGCCAGTTTATTGAGGCATTTGAGATACCCAGCACTTCATAAAAAGATTTAGTTTTTTTCTAATCTAACATAAGGGATGTAAATTTTCCCTCCATTCCTGGTATTAAAATTGTGGACATCACCCCTAAGAGTGTGGGATTTCAGGTTCTTAAAACTAGTCAACAAAATGTTATATATAAATAAATTAACAACAGTCAAACTCTTAAAATCTACAAACACAGAATTCCTTAATTGTGATAGACATTTGCCATGATCCTGATCACCTTTTTCTGTTTCAAAAGAACTTCAGTGATGTGAGGGCTGCTGCCCAAAACATTATTCCATAATCAAGAGCTGATTGGAAAAGTGCAAAATAAGCAGTTTTTATGTAGTCAAAAAGAACTACATCATTAAGTTTTCTGAAAATAAATGTCAATTTACCTAGTCTAGTACAAAAGATGTTCAACATGATATGACCATGATGCGAGTTGATCCACATAAACACCCAAAAACGTAACAACTTTGACGATTACTACCCTAGAAAGAAATTAAACCAATAACTTATAAGTTTACGATAGTCTAAATTTAAAATGTTACTTTCAGTTCCGGATCTAAAATGTACAAAATGTGGGAAGACGTTTGGCCATGTTCGTATTCTCCAGCTTCACATGCAGTTTCACAATGTGAGCGAGTCTTTGGGGCATCAGTCACCTGAGAAAGAGTCAACAACTGTCAGTGAAACTACAACACTATCAGACAATGGCAGTGGCAGCAGTGAACTCAAAGCTAATAGTAAACACATTCGAGAAGAGATCAAAACAGATGTGAAAACTATTAACAAAACCACTGCAACTTCTACCAGTTGTGTAGGAAGCGTTGATGGTAAAAATAGCATGTCTAACTCTTTTAAAATATTAGAACTCAGTGAACCAAAGAAAAAGTCTAGTCCAAGAACAAAAGTAAAGCCAAAACCAGGTATGTATGGATACAAATTTTAACTATCTCAAATAATAATAGAATAATAGGCAAATTTTTGATAGTAAATAGACTTTTATTTAGTACCCAACCCATACAGTACCTATATTTTTGTTTTTACTGTACCATTGAAATTTTCAGGATATAATGTAGATTTCATTGTTGATGTTAGCATCCGGATTAAGTTGAATATAAAAATTGGTGTAAAATACCTGCTTCTTGTAATCCAAAATGTTGCTGCTATGACGCAACTAGTTTCAACTTCCCAAAAAGTCATCTTCGGGCGTCCAGGGGATGTCAAATCACTTCATCAGAGACAGAAGGTCGTCAATAAACACATTATATACGTTCATACACGAACATGGTCACGGGTAAGAACACGAACATTGAAACGAAAAAGTACAATTTGTTTTTAACGAGTGAAAGGCTAAAAATGGTAACAAAGTTGAGGATGATGCATCACGACTGGATGGATGTAGCGTCTAGACTGCCGGTCAACGTGGTCGGTCGGACAGCTGACTGATAACAAGAACAAAATAATGATGTCACAGCGCCGACCGACTATGTTGACCGGCAGTCTAGACGCTACATCCATCCGGTTGTGACGCATCATCTTCACCGTTGTTACCATTTTTAGCCTTTCACTCATAAAAAATAAATTGTACTTTTTTGTTTCAATATTCGTGTTTGTGTTTGTGTCTGTGACCATGTTCGTGTATGAATAATGTGTGTATTGACGACCTTCTGATGTTGGTACTGCAGGTACCTTAGTTGCCATTAGCTGTATGGGCTATTAATTACAAAGTTGCTACGCCAAAAACCATGCAGCAGCTAAGATCGCGACCTATCTCTGTGTTACCTGCAATTTCAAAGATAGGCCTACTGGAAAAGATAGTAACCGAACAAATCACTTTATTTCTAGATGAGTATAATATACTGCCTAAGCTACAGTCAGGTTTTAGAAAAAACCACAGCACGTGTCGTGTACTGCACTGACTAATATTGCTGATCTATTTGAAGCCAAAGACAAAGGACTCTACAGCACATTAGCTATTTTAGATTATTCTCAAGCTTTTGACTCTATTGATCATAAATTATTATTGGCAAAAATGAAATACTATGGTTGCAACAAAAAAGTTGTATGTTGGTTTCGGCATTGACTATATAACCACAACAAGGTTTGTGGTTATATAGTCAATGGTTTCGGTCCTATTTGGAGTCCCGACTGCAGGTTACTAAAATAGGGAGTGGGACATCAGATCCGCTTTGCAAATTGCGAGGTGTTCCTCAAGGTAGTTGTTTAGGCTCTGTGCTGTTCAATTTATACTGGACCACATATTCTAATGCAGGAGTGGAGAAAATCTGACATTGAAGTCACCCTTGATGGCATGGGATTGTCTGTTTGTGACACTGTTAACACGCTTGTTGTTGTACTTGACAAAGACCTCTTGTTTTCTGACCACGTCACATCTACAGTCCAACGCGCAGTGGGAAGATTGAGGTAAATTTAATTAAAATTTTAAAAAATTTTAAATTTTAAGGTTTGCAAATTACGTTTTGCAAAAAAAACTCAAATTTTTTAAATTAACAAAAAATTAAATTTTTCTAAATTTAAAATTTCAAAAATACTTTAAAATTTTTGTTTTTAATTTAAATTTGTTTTTATTGGAATTTTTGTTAAATTAAATTTTTTTTTAATTTTAAATTAAAAGTTTGCAATTAACGTTTTGCTAAAAAACTTAGCAGTTTAAAAATCTTGTTTAGATTAAAATTTTTTTTAAAATTAGATTTTTTTTTTATCTCGTCTCGAAAATATCCCGTTAGCATTTTAATCCCGCCCGAAGCTTCGAGACAAAATAAATCTCGAAGTTTCGGGTCTTGTCCATCACTAATCAGTGGTTCAGGACACGAAATGTGGTTGCGGTGCTGTTTCTTTGCGTGTTACTAGCAATATTATTTTTGTGAATGATTTCGTTTCCAAATAAACTATTTGTCTTTGAAAATGCGTACCGTAATGTATTCAATTATTTACCTCATATAATTATCTAGGCCTTAGTACAGTACTTTGAACTTGAGGTTAAGCATTTTAAGATCTAAATAGTATTAATGTATTGTACCGATGGACACATCACACGTTTTTAAGAAGATTTGTAAGGAATCAGTTTCAGTCCAATTGAGGGGGGGCGCCAAAATAGGTGTTTGCCCCGAGTGCCTAGTTACGTCCCTGCAAAGGCAGTGTTTGCCAATCTGTCTGCAGCTTCATTTCCTTTTATGCCTGAGGGTCCATGCACCCAGCAGAGCGTAAGATCATTTCTCCTACCCAACTCAGACACAGAAGCAAGGCAGTCCCACACGAGTCTAGAGTTGAATTCGTAAGAGTTTAATGCTTTTAAGGTAGCTTGACTACCAGTATAGATATTGATTGTTTTGTCTCTGATCTCTTTGTTAAGATGTTCTCGAGCACAAACCAGAATGGCAGTGACCTCTGCTTGAAAAACAGTTGGGTACACCCCCATGGGAAGACAAATGCCAGTGCCTTCATTTATGCATGTACACATGCTCCAGTGCCCCCATTTTTGATTGATCTTAGAACCATTAGTGTAGCATTCTAAATCACCTGTGGTGATGGGCCCTTTTCTGCCAGACCAATCCTTCCTATCTGGTATTAGTACTTTCCTGTAGTAGTAGTAGTAGTAGTAATCTCCTGATAAGACTGGTCAAGGTCAGGATCACCAAGTAACTCAGGTGGACTTGTTGTGTCGTCTGTTTGTTTACGTTATTTTCTGGACTTTTGTTAATTTAACTCATTATAATAAAAATATTTTTTAAATAGTAAAACAATTTTATATTTTAACTTGGTGAACATTTTTACTATTAAAAATAAATGTTGTTTATAATTAATGAAGTAGGTAATTAAATTAATCTTTGCAGTGATATTAGCACAAGTTAAATACATTGTCTAAAATATGGGAATAAGAGAGGGTGATTTTGTATTTGCAACAGTGAAAGGATACCCTCCCTGGCCAGCTATTGTGGATCAAGTTGAGGAGAAAAATAAAATAAAGTATTTTAATGTAACATTCTTTGGTACAAAAGAAACGGCAAAGTGTAGGCAATCAAGTGTATGTCTTTATGTTGAAAACAAAAATAAATTAGGAATCCCTAAGAAAAAAAATAACAGCTTTAATATAGCACTGCAAGAAATTGAGAGGGCAGTAAAGACTAAATAAACTAAGCCAAAATACCTCGTCTAGAACACCTAAAACCTCGAAAACTGGACATTCACTATTTACATTGACAAATAAATGTAAAAACACAGTAAGCAAACCATCTCAGTGCTCTACACCCATAGTAACAACACCTGACACCTTGCTTGTTGCCCCGAATATGGTAAATTCCATTGACAAATCATATAATGAAGACCTAAAGTCTCAGATAATTGATGTCAAAAATAAGTGTATTGAATTAGAAAAGACTTTAAATGAAAGAAAACCCTCAGATAGGTACTATTTTAGAAAATACAGAAATTAATCCCAATCAGCCGAAAAACAACTTGCCACAAAATGAAGATTTTCATACAAAAATATTGAAGCAGGAGCTGGCTAAAATAAAAATTGAAAACCAAAACTCAGTAAAAACTGTAGAAATCTTACAATCGGACTACAACACATTGGAAAAAGAATATGAACAGTTTAATTTAATTGCACTCATTGCTTCCCCCGCTTTCAACCTATCCTTGGAAGCCAGTGGCCGACCTACAAATTTACAGCTGTTAACAATGAAATTGGTTTTGAAAGTAATAATTCTTTCGCTGTCTTGGAAGAAATCAGTGAGGAAAGTAATGCACAGAGTCAACCTAGCCTTCTTAATGGGCCAAATAAGAGAAAGTATCAATCACAAAAGAAACATGAAAATAGGAAGGATGCAAATAAACAAAAACTCACTATTTTGGCTGATAGCCATGGCAGAAATTTAGGACACCTAATAGAACAAAGATCATGCTTTAATGTCTTCAGTGTTGTCAAATCTAGTGCTAAGCTAAGCAATGTCATTGAAAGGGCTGGAGAGCTAAGCAAGGACCTATGAGCGGAGGATTCTCTTCTGGTGATTGGAGGCACTAACGACATGGAGACCCACAACTCTGAATCTCTCCTAAATGAAATTAACCATCTCATTTCAATCACTAACCACACTAACCTGGTTATTGCAACTTTACCATGGAGATATGACAAGATGGGGCTGGACCTGAAAATTGGAGAAATTAACAGGAAATTAGAAGACATTGTTGCCCAGCACCCTAAGGTTTCATTACTGCCGCTGTACTCTCTTCCCCGCCACCTTTCACACCACATGGATTGCACTTCAATGCCAGGGGTAAGGTAAGGGTAGCTGACATGTTCTTGAAGCTGGTGAGAGCAAAGTCCAATAGAGCTTCACAGGTAAAATCTTTAATGATGTTTGGCAATGGGAAAATTAATATTGTTGAAGAACACATGAAAACAATGATTGATGAAATGAGGAGTGATAGTTCAGTGGGTTTTGCACACAATATCTCGGTGGATTTTGGAGATCCGAAGCTCATGTCTGCAGGTGTTGCCGTGATCTTTAGAAATAAATTTGGGAGACCACAATCTACTGATAAAATCTCAAAAAATCTAACAAAGCAGCAATACTTAAATAAGGGTGCAACAGTCTTTAGTCTAGTGACAAAGGAAGTCTTTTGGGGAAAGCCATCGAAGATAGACTACGACAGCGCTTTTAAACAGCTAACAGAAAACTTTAAATCTAGTGGGCTTAAGACTTTGGTGTGCTCACCAATGGGTTGAGTCCGGGACCTAATTGAAGTGGATCATTTTATACAGAAACTAGTGGAATTCCAGCAGGCAACTGAGGCTACAGTAATCATTGTCTCTTATTTCCAAAAATCAATCCGAATTCTGAGATGTAAAATTATAAATAATAAATTATAAAATTATAAATTCTCACAAAGATTTTGTGAG